CTTTGCCATAGTCAAGAAAGACAAAACTGAACAAATCCTACACACCATAAACAATACCACAAAGAACATTACCTTTATTAAAGACGAAGAACACGACAAACAACTTACCTTCCTCGACATCCTACTAACCAGAACAGATGACGATACACTAAACACACAAGTATACTGCAATACCACCCACACAGACCAAATACCCGATTTCAACAGCAATCATCCAACACAACACAAAATAAGCTACATTCGAAAACTTTTCAACAGGATAAACACTCATTGTAATACGGAAGAAGCCAAAAAAACAGAACGCAACTACTTATACTCCACATTTACTAAAAACAACTACCCTAGAAACTTCATAAACAAAACTATATACAAAGTACAAAACAAAACACAAACCGACAAAAGCAACAAAAAAACCGGACGAAACAGTAAAAAATCGTCACATTACCATACATAAACGGAACATCAGAAATGACTGCCAGACTTCTTCGACCATTTAATATTAACGTCGCCCACAAACCTACACAAAAACTCAAATCATGTTTCACCAAACATAAAGACAAAACAACAATTCATGATACAACTGACGCGCTCTACATGATACCATGTAAAGACTGTTCGAAGCAATACATAGGACAAACATCTAAGAGAATTGAAACAAGACTCACAGAACACAAAAACGCCATAAAACGACGAGATCCGAACTCACTACTGGCAGAACATACCCACGGAAACAACCACACATTCGACTGGACAGAAACTAAAGTACTCGGACGCGCACAGACTAAACACGCACGCGAATTTAAAGAAGCTTGGTACAGTAAAGACAAGGACACAATAAACAGACATATCGACATACCCATCATATACTCACAACTAAAGGAAAAGGACATAAAGACTACAAACAACCGTTGGATTTAAACCGTTAAAACGATAAGGCCTGGAAAAAGAACCTTTCCTTTTGTAAAATATTGCGAGCCTGGCTTTAATGTGCCAGTGGCAAATTGTATTGCGAGTGAGGTTCGACAAAGAAGATCTATGGTTTTTTTGGGTTAAGAAACTTTTGCTAAACAATATATGGCTCATGCTGACATAAAACTTCTGTAGATGTAGACAAAAAAAGAGCCATAGCTACAGTTAGGATGCTAATGTAGGCAATTCCTGTGACGATAAGACAGAAGAACGCCATTCTTCAACAAGTTTTATCATTAAATGAACTTGGTCATACTCTTGGAGTACCTATCGCCAACATGGAATGAACTTTAGTTTTAATAATGATAAAAACATTATAATATGAATTTGCCATTTTTGGCATGTTATACATAAACAGATTGGTGCCTTTGTTCAATGTGGATGTCATGCATCCACTTTTTACAAACTAATAACATCTATTAAATATCCAGTAATAAACAGAGTGATATTTTAATGCTTTGCTTCTATACAGATATATAATGTTTTTGTTAAATGGCCTTTTGCAAGATTAATATGATGATAGTAAAGACTGAGAAACTCGCAAAACCATTGGGCAACAGCATCTTGTGTAGTTAGGATTTGTAGGGATGGGAAGCTGATTTTAGTTGGACTAGGGTCACTAATGTGTTTTTATAGCAAAGTGCTTTGAATGAGCTGTTCCCACCTTTTACACAGTTTTTTATGAAAGTAGTATCCATTAGTTGTTAATTTCTGACTATTATTTTCTATTATTTTGTACTTGCAATATGCAATGGAGTTATTTCACGTAACTGTAGACATGGGAGAAAAGATTAATCTGATAGAAAAAATTAGGACAACATTGACCAAGATAATATTTGATTGTTACTTGTTACCAGTAAAGTAATTTAAATCAAGATTAAAATACAATGATATATTTTAATGGAAATTTTGAATATTACAACACCAAAAATACTACTACTTTAAATTAGATCTTGTGCAAGAAATATTTGGTAGCTATGATTTGCGTGCAAGCTTCCAGTTTCCATAGATGTAATGACACAAAATATTATTTTAAGCATTACCCTTTCTTTTCACAGACCAAATTTATAAAAAGCGTAGTATTATAGTGTCCAAGTTTGAATGTTTTAATATCTTAAGTTATTTTATGTCCATGATGCTTTAAAGAGTATTAACTTTGCTGATATGGGCAAGTACGTTGTGAAAAATACATACAAAGTGTCCAAGTTTTACCACTGGGAAATTATGCGATACATAAGTAGGAAAACTTAGCAATACTTTTCTCACAAAACATGCTAGTGCTCAATGGTCAACACAAGGTTTGCAATCCTCACCACGAACAATTATTAAAAAAAAACAGTGAAAAAGTTTAACCCAGGTAATATCACAGTGTGTTGTGTTAGTTCTATACCCCACTCCTCCTCCTAAATGGCGAATGGCTAAACTGTGACGTTGCGTGCAAGCACACTGTTATCAATGAAACAAACCGAATAGTACACTTACAGCAAAGAATAAAGACGTGTTTGTATAATGCACATCAAGTCCGAAATAATCAGTGGTTAATTTTAAATAAAAATTAACATTCTACATCAAAAGCTACAATGTAAACATGTTTCACTTTTAAGCACATTCTCCTGTTTGCATTCAAACTGCTGCCTTTCTTCTTGGTTCTTTCTTGTCTTATAGCATTTCATCGAATAGTATATGCAAGAGAAATTTTTTTGTAGCCATAAAATAAGAAACTTTAACTTAAAGACAATTTCTTACTAGTATGCCGAAGGCAAATATTTTCAGCCAAATCTGTATCATTACACCACACAAGAATCATTATCCTTTGATGAAAAAATTTGATGTCAGTAAGAATTGTGCTTACTTTTCTTCCTCAAACAGGGTTTATTTTATTTCTCAATTAAAAAAAAAACCGCAAAGTAATAATTTTTAATGCAGATTTTTATTAAATGTAAAAACAAAACAATTACATTTAAAAGTTAGTTTGAAGAATCAATTTAATCTTTCCATCTTCTTTAAAAGTCATGTAAAGGACTCCTGGTCGCCATGTCTATCCTAAAAAAGTAAATCATGAGCTCATTGGTTGATATCGCACATAGAAATGGTCTTATTCTTTATTGGATAGTTTTCCTTATTTTGTTTATCCTCTACTTAGAGGATAGTTGTTAAACTGAAGCAAACTCACATAAAAAAACATAATTTATATTTCAACATTCCAGATACTTACCAGTCCACATTTTACAGCATCTGAAGTAGTCTATGTTGTGAAGCCAGTCACCATTATGATCTTTGTACAACCCAGTGACGTAATATCCAACTTTTTTACATGTTGTCCATCCCTTCCTGTCAAACGCATATCTGATGTATTCATTGTAACAGTGAGCATACTTGTTTGGATGATTGACAGGCTTGCAACATTTTCCTGCCTCAATATTGTGTAATCTTTGGCCTTTGGTGCGATAGAGACCATTTAGGAAATATCCTTTTGGACAACAGCTCCAGGTACTGGCCCTGAAAAATAATTTGTTCTTGTTATTCATAATGTGTATAATTTGGAAAAAAATATTAAGAACCACAAGATAAGTTAATAATAAACATTGTTTTATTCATGGCAAAACTAAGTTAATTTTTGGTTAAAAAAATCTTTCACATGAGATGCTTTTCATGTTATCCTATTACCTTTTCTTTAAAAATTAAAAAACAAATTACTGCATTGCAGCGTTCGAAATTAGTAATGCCAATTGTAAGAACTTGTGACTTTTTTAACATTTCATAAGTAAACCGAAGAGAGATTACTTACTTGTCAAGTGATTTCCACCAGTTAGCATTTTTGCATGTACTTCGTTGCCCTGCGTATTTTGAACTGGAAGTGCAGCATTTCGCTTCTTCAAGCTTATAAATTCCATCATTATTGAATTTTTTTAACTTGTTTCGGTAAAATCCAGTAATAAATTGTCTTGTATTGTCACATTTTGACCATCCTTTTTTGTCAAATGATTTCCACCAGTTGTCATTAACGCAACGTCTCGGTATAAACGTATCTATAGATGTAATGATAACAGTAACAATATTAATTTGACATAATCCAGTCACATCATTCACTGCCATGGTGAAATTTTGCTGTGTAAACACACAAGAATAGCTGTTGCAAGTTTAATCAATTATAGGAGAGTTATAATATGCTCATCTTTTCTGGGCTTCTATTTTTTCACATCTAGATTATTCCAATGAAAATGGCAAGAGTTCAAAAAATTATGCGTTTACATTACATTTCTAGAGATCAAAAAATTCATTCACATCTACCTTGCTAAAGTACAAAAGAGTTTTAAAAAGAGCAATTTAACTATTTCTTGGTAACGCACAAGCAACGTGCTCTTATATGAAATTTAATCGGCAAACGTTGATTGCAGCAAAGAGAAGTTCAGCTGAATCTTCAAAACACTACTTTAAGAGATTTAGTTTGCTCATTTATTACTTCCCTGACCAATTCTAACTAATTTCATTTTATTATCAAACTTTCTGTACCACAGCGCTATTTATCAATTGCATATTATTATAGTTTTACTAAAATTTGTGATGCTAACGTTTTTCTTACGTTGCTAATCATGTCATAAAGCTAGAAACTAAGAAATCTACTTAATAAGTTGTTTTAATTGGTGTTATATTTGTAAGTATACCCAATTTCTAGAGTTTACAAAATATTCGAGCTTACATTGACAGTTTTTTCCAAAGAAACCAAATTTACATTTGCAGCTGTACAACTGTCCATTCCTTTTGCATACACCTCCGTTAATACAAGGTTTTGAGTGACAAGCATTATAGACTAAAAGTAAAACAAGTGATAGTTTATTAATTGTATTTTAAAAAACATAATTGATTGCCAAATGGTTTTGCTCAACATTTTCAAATAAAGGAACCCAATATGTAAGACCTCATTATCCATAATTAGTATTCGCAAGAACCGTGGAGTTGTTATAAAATGTCATTAAAAAAATGTTCTATCATTAAAGTCACTGCAATTGAATACACTAACTCATGCTTACATTGACAGTTCTTTCCAAAGTAGCCAGGTTTACATTTGCAGCTGTACAACTTTCCATTCCTTTACATACACCACCGTTAATACAAGGTTTTGAGTGACAAGCATTGTAGACTAAAAGTAAAACAAGTGATAGTTTATTAATTGTATTTTAAAAAACATTATTGATTGCCCAAATGGTTTTGCTCAACATTTTCAAATAAAGGAACCCAATATGTAAGACCTCATTATCCATAATTAGTATTCGCAAGAACCGTGGAGTTGTTATAAAATGTCATTAAAAAAATGTTCTATCATTAAAGTCACTGCAATTGAATACACTAACTCATGCTTACATTGACAGTTCTTTCCAAAGTAGCCAGGTTTACATTTGCAGCTGTACAACTTTCCATTCCTTTTACATACACCACCGTTAATACAAGGTTTTGAGTGACAAGCATTGTAGACTAAAAGTAAAACAAGTGATAGTTTATTAATTGTATTTTAAAAAACATTATTGATTGCCCAAATGGTTTTGCTCAACATTTTCAAATAAAGGAACCCAATATGTAAGACCTCATTATCCATAATTAGTATTCGCAAGAACCGTGGAGTTGTTATAAAATGTCATTAAAAAAATGTTCTATCATTAAAGTCACTGCAATTGAATACACTAACTCATGCTTACATTGACAGTTCTTTCCAAAGTAGCCAGGTTTACATTTGCAGCTGTACAACTTTCCATTCCTTTTACATACACCACCGTTAATACAAGGTTTTGAGTGACAAGCATTATAGACTAAAAGTAAAACAAGTGATAGTTTATTAGTTGTATTTTAAAAAACATTATTGATTGCCCAAATGGTTTTGCTCAACATTTTCAAATAAAGGAACCCAATATGTAAGATCTCATTATCTATAATTAGTATTCAAAAGAACCGTAGAGTTGTTATAAAATGTCATTAAAATAATGTTCTATCTTTAAAGTAACTGCAATTGAATACACTAACTCATGCTTACATTGACAGTTCTTTCCAAAGTAACCAGGTTTACATTTGCAGCTGTACAACTTTCCATTCCTTTTGCATACACCTCCGTTAATACAAGGTTTTGAGTGACAAGCATTGTAGACTAAAATTAAAAACATGGTTTGAGTTAATTGAATTTGAAAAGCTTTCAATTCAATTGTTGTCCATATAGTTTAGTAATTATTTTATAAGATTGTTTCTTATTTTATGCAACAATAAATTTAAGCATAAGGCCTGGGAAAAAAGTTGTGTTTTGGGGTAAAATTTTCGGGCAACTAGGCTTAATTCCCCCTTAATCGAGACTAATCCCACGTGCAAATGTTCTTAAGAATTAATTTAAGCTTTCTTTTATAAAACACTTCCTGCTTGTCTCTTGTGATTTATGAGGTAGTGCGACATGAACGGAAAATCTAAACGCATTACAAAATTCAAACTTAATTTACGGTAGCTAGAGCAGAAATAGTTCAAAAAATTAAGAGTGTAAGTTATAGTTTCTAATCAATAAATTTGTTATAGTTTGACTGCACAAATGATTAAAAACAAGGTACAAGGAAATATCATTTACAAATCATACTTACTTCCACAATTTTTTCCTTGGTAGCCAGGTTTACATAAACACTGGTAAGATTTGATTTTTTTTAAACAAAGACCACCATTCTTGCAAGGTTTCTTAGCACATGGGTTGAAAACTAAATAAAAAGAAATACATCATAAAACTTGCAAATGCTTTTGAACATACTCTATCTGTTTCTATATGGTACTCAATTCCTGAGAACTCAATGTTGTTCTCTATTTTGGAATAGCTCTCTTTAATGTGTTCATGTATTGAAATTTTCAAAACAATAAATTTAATTTTTTACCTGGGGCCATTTTGCAGCATTTGAAGTAGTCAATGTTGTGAAGCCAGTCACCTTTATGATCTCTGTACAACCCAGTGACGTAGTAACCTGCCTTTTTACACGTTGTCCATCCTTTCCTGTCAAACGCATGTCTGATATATTCATTGTAGCAATCACCATACCTTTTGGGATGGCGTATTGGTTTGCAACATTTTCCTTCCTCAATATTGTGTAAATGAATTCCCTTTGAGCGATAAAGACCATTTAGAAAATATCCTTGAGGGCAAACACTCCAAGTGCTTTTTCTAAAAAAAATTTTAATGTTTGGTTAAAACTAACTGCAAAGGTTACTGAGTTTTATGATTAACTCACATTGTGTGTATAAGACGCAGAAATTTTTCTTACGTTTGATGAAATAACGACACACAAGACATTATTATTCTATTATGTAGTTAAGTAAGTAAATGATTAAATGTTATTGTTTCAGTTAACAAAAATATAAACTATTCAAAACTAAATATAATTTCTCTTAGACAAGTTCAAGTATTTGCACTTCAAGAATTATCAAATAACGCTGCGATTGATAGGGTATCTATACAATTATAATTTGAAGATTTTAATCGAATGTAACCATCTTGCAAAATAATTTAATTTTAAAATAATTTCTCCCTATGAGTTGCGAAGATGTAACTTTCGGCACTTCCTATGCAAACTTGGCCACCAATTTTGATGCTTGGTAAATTTATGTTATGACGAATACACATTTAGAGCTTAGAAATGAAAATAATTGATGACTTGGCGACTTCCGTTCACGAGAAAACATAAAATGAGGAAAAAGTTCGAACACATTTTAAGGTATAGAATAAGTACTCAAAGTTAATTAAATCTAAATCATACTAACTTGTCTAAAGTTTTCCACCAGTTAGCGTTGACACAAATGCTCTTTTGACCTCTGTATCCAAGACTAGACAAACAGCACTTTGCCTCTTCAAGTTTGTAAATTCCATCATATAGGAAAGTATATAACTTGCTACGATAAAATCCAGTGATGAACTGTTTACTGGTGGAACATTTTGACCATCCTTTTTTGTCAAATGACTTCCACCAGTTGGCGTTAACACAGACCTTTGCTGCAATTAACGATTAAGATTAGATTAAGATAAGAATGAGTAATATATAAATTTTAATACGAACTTTTTCATTTTGTCTCATTGCGATTATCTCGTGCATGCCCGAAATATTAATCCTCTGTCGCATTCGTAAAAGTTAATACGAACAAAGATTATCGAATTTATTTCAGCTAATTGCCTATCAACACCTCATATACATATAATATATTATCAGAAAAAGTATTAATCAATCAATCAACAAAAGTCTTAACATTTCATGTAAATATTTATGACATCTAATTAAAATACTCACAAACGGAATGCTTAATGGTTGTTCAATTAAAGTAAGGCTACAGGCTATCTCAGAGAAAACGAAACCAGCCCATATAATTTATGAATTCACTGCAATGATTGTGCACAATAATTTAACCAAAATTCAAAATAGGTTAATGAACTTGTTCTATAAATGCTATTATTAACTCTCTTAACTTTTTGAATGAGACATCCGATTAACTCGCCTTGCCAAAGTTATTGGGAAACTGTGCCGAGATCTCGGCAATTCAAATTACTCGGTTTACCATGTAAACACGTTTGAACGGGAAACTCAGTTAGGCGAGTAGAATATAGGTACCAATCACGTAAGCTTCTATCCTACAAATAGCCTGTAAACTAAAATATGATAGCGAAAATGCATGAACAAAACATAAAATACGCCTTTCGAAACTTCTGTCAATTCATTTTATTATTTTTGCAATTTTTAAGAGTTTGCGATTGAACTATACTTCGAATTGGGGACTTTATGTGATAAAACGTATCGGACTGTATGCCGAGTTTCTCGGTGTCATATAAACAATGCGCACTGTTTCATCGCGGGTAGCCGAGTTATTCGTCTAACAGGTTAACTCGGCTCCATATGAACAGGCGCTAAAAGCTGCCTTACACGAGAGGTTACAGCTAAGCTACCAGCCTTGCGAGGCAGGTAGCACAACACGTTACCACGTGTGCGGCTAAATTTCGATAAGAATAATACCTCAGTTGCGTGTCCGCGTGAGGAAAATATATATCGTGTTTGATTTTTTTTTGCCTCGCGAGACATAACTCAACGTATGCGATACTCGTGAGTAGATGCTCAGCTACCAGCAAAAGACAACCAATGAAAATATGTAATTTTTCTACGTGACGACACAAAGCCTTCGACCATATGCCTTCGACTATAGTATAATAAATATGGCGGCTAATTCAATTGGCGATAATAACGAACAACTAAATGAGCTGTTTGAAGAAGAGAAATTGCTAGTAATATGGCCTGTCTACCCGTGTTTGTACGCAGTCGCGAAACTGGTTGTGATAACAAGGTCACGAGGCGCCATCATTGTTGGCGCCGGGTGGGGAAAACTTAGAAAATTTAATGCCTTACACTCCCGAAAAAACTATTTTTTGGTTTCTATTTACAAAGCTAAATCATTAAACGTCACTCCTCGTACAGCCGTTTAAATTTAATTCCTAAATATCCTTCAGTCTTGGACTGTTTCCCCCTAGGTCAGAGCTCATCAGCATGACAAAGAAACACACAGCACATCAGTGAAATTCAGTTCACTTTCAAAAGAAATCAGAAGGGCACAACGGAATATATGAATATGCACCCCACCCTCAACCCCAAATAACGTTCTACTTACGCCTCTGTCCAATGATAACTGTGTGCATCACATTGTTTCAAAAACGTTATATGAGTTAAAAAGTCATTTTACATTATCGTAAATGGCAGACTCAGCAAATACCAAAATTTAGAACAATGATCATTAAGAAACGTAACTGTCGTTCACAACACCGAACAACTTAATGAGAATGTTAATTACTAGAGCAAAATACTCATTTGGAATCATTTGAATGCAAACACTGAAATTTCGGTTGATAATGTAAATCCATTCTTAAAAAAAGTTCTCTTATTACTATCTCACTTTACCTTTTTTAGCCTTTGTGGCAATGACCTAAACAGTAAAACGACATAGAATTTAGAAAATTTGTGACAATAAGTGCTTCATTCTACATATATTTTATTAATCCGGGATAACACTTAATGATAATAAAGGCGATCTGCTGTTCCACACATTTTTAAATACTTAAGTCGAAAACTATATCGCAAAACTAAATCTGTAAGTAGTTGAAAGTACATCCCTCCCTTTTTACAAGAACGGACCTTAACGAATAATCTATGCATTAAGACTATCAGAGCTATTCCGCAGGACCAGTAGCTATTAGCCAAGATGGCTAACTGCCGTCTGCAATAATAATATGATATAGAAAACAGCATGCCTAAATTATTGTGTGTTTATGAAACTATTTTATTTATTCAAAGCTTTAGTTGGGTGGCTCAGACCGTTAGCTTTTAGGACATTTGCTGTACCTTACACATACCATTAAGAGCAGAACGGCAGACAAAATAGTGAGACTTGACTTCATTGCGTACGCTTTGTCCATCACTGCTTCTTCTAATCATCAACTGGCAACAAGATGCACAGCCTAAATAAAACTGATACAATGCGAAAGGTGCTTTATAACCTCGCCAGTCTGATGAAATTTCTGTCACATCTCTAAAATTTACATTTTTAATACTTGAATCTGCAGGATATCCCTACTTCAAATATTAAAGATCATTTGTAGCGTCTGAATAAACAAAACTCTTAGTCGGCAGTAATCTAGATGAGATCAATGTTTCCCCTGCTGGAAAATTACTTATGTAGCATAAAATAATTGCTTATATTCAGGTTGTCGAAAAAGAAGTTAATCGAAATTCAACACGCTAATGTGTGTACAATACTGAATAAACGACCATAGTTTTGAATTATTACGAAACCCCAGATTTCTAACTATACAATGTCAAATTGTAGTTGCATTTAAAGCAAAATGAGCAAATACTAGCACGCTGAAATGCTTTGGTGGCACGCTGAAATGCTAGAACTCTATGAATTTTGGAATATGCATGTTTATGCTAATTTTGTTATTATGTAAAAGTTAGGACGGATTTTTAAACGATATGTTACAAATAATGGTGGTTAAACAAGGCAAACATTTTTCTGCCTTGTCATGCAATTATACAAACCATTTAGGCAAATGTGTAAAACTTTTAGTCACCATTTAAATTTGTTTTAAGGAAT